GGGCGCTGCTTCCTCTCTGTCCTCCAGGCTCCTCTGGAGCACAAGGTGCTCTTCTCCCCACTCCCTTTAACCGACTGCTGGTCCTCTCCCGCACAGACCCCATCTCAGCGCAAAGCAAGCACATGCCAACTCTGCATCAGAAAGCCATCTGGGAGCCACTGGCCAGTTTCAGAAATTTTGATTAAAATTATCTAAGTCCGGCCCCAGCCAGTTTGGCTCAGTGGAGAGAGCGTTGGCCTGCGGACTGAAGGGTCCTGGGTTTGATTCAGGTTGGGGCACAGGCCCGGGTTGTGGGCTCCATCCCCAGTGTGGGGCGTGGAGGCAGCCGATCCATGATTCTCTCTCATCATGGATGTTTCTCTCTCTCTTTCCCTCTCCCTTCCTCTCTGCAATCAGTAAAAGTCTATTTAAAATAAATGAATGAAATGATCCAAGCCCTCTGACAGCCAGCCCGGGGCAGACCGACGGCTGTGGGTCGCCAGTGTCCCCGCGGGGAGTGCCCTCGGCCCTGCCTGCAGGTGCTGGAAGCCCCTCCTGCTCTCTGGCCGGATCCAGGCAGTGACCGTCCTCAGTGACGGAGGAACGCATCGTGACACACAAAAGCCGGCCATCCTGAGGTCCGGGGAAGAATGGATGCAGACTGCACCTGGTTGCTTAGCAACAGGGCCAGCCGCCCTCCCCGCTCCCCGGGTCCCTCCTGCAGATGCCGTTGGTGGGCCTGTCAGCCAGTGGGGGGCGGCAGCCGCTGGACCGGAGTCCAGCTGTGCAGATCCCCAGGGACAGGACCAACCCTTCATGCCTCAGAGTGGCGTCTGCCCCAAAGCCCGGCCAGACCCCGCGGCTCCGAGAGGCACACATTCACCCGACACGACACGCGGCCTGAGATAGACGGTCCTATTCGAAGCACGCCGGCGGGGACATGAGCTCCCGAAGGTCCCCAGGGAGGGGCCTGAAGGTGAGATTCCACTCTGCCAGTCACTGTTGCCAGACGGGTGTCCACAGCAGCCCCACCCTCAATTGAGCCCCAACCTCCGCCTGAGCGCCCCTCCGAGCCGCGTGCGTCTGTGTACCGGTCCAAGGGCCTCCACTCCCTTATCCCTTTGGCTGGAAGGCAGCCTTTCGGAGCCAGCACGCCGGCACCACGCAGCTCTGGGGTTTAGCTGCCCACTCTGGTTCCTGCCCAGGCAACAGCGCTGCCTGTTCATGTCTCCACTGGTCTCGGCGAGGGGACGGGCCTCCATTGCCGTGCTAACCGGCAGGCCCCTGGCCACCGCTGGGCCTGGCCTCCTCTCAGGCAGCCCTGCCGCTCTCTTCCTCCACCCACGCTGCCCCCTGAACTCCAGTGGGAAACAAAGACCTCAGCCCAGAATGCTCTCTGTTTGTGCAGAGGGGGGGCTGATGTGCCCCAGACGCTAGAAAGGGGGTCAAGGGACCACAAGTCCTCCCCTCCCTCAGCCACCTCACCAAAGGGCGAGATGCAAAAACACTGTATTTCTTGCTGTTAATCCTCACCCGAGGGTATTTTTCCGTTGATGTTTTTGGAGAGTGGAAGGGAGAGGAAAAGACAGAGAGAAACAGCGATGAGATGGGTTGCCTCCTGCACACCCCACCAGGACCAGGGCCTGGGCCGGGGAGGAGCCTATTGCCAAGGTAGGTGCCCTTGACCGGGATCGACCCCGGGAGGGACCCTTTGGTCCACAGGCCAACGCTCTATCTTCTGAGCCAAAACAGCTGGGGCCAAAACCCTTTTTAAATGACCTGTATGCACCTGTCTTCCCACCAGCGTGTGAGGTGGCAGAGAGGAGTGTCATGTCCCCAGGAACCGAAGCCACAGTCAAGAGGAAGTCTTCTCCCCGAGACACGGCGCAGCCATCAGCCACGGTCCACGCTGCGCTAGGAATTGCTCCTAAAGGTCATGTATCCAGCTCCGTCTTCACAGCGGCTTACCATCTGGGCCTCCGCATTGAATGGCCGGTGCCCCTGGCTCCCCAGGAGGAAGCCAAGGGGACGGGGGTAAAACGGGGCAGAGGGAAGATGGACATGGAAGGAGACCAATGTCCTCAAATGCAGGGCAGGTGTGCTTGGGCTCAGAGCAGACGCCCCTCAGAGGGACAGGGACAGGGACAGGCCAGGTAGTCGTGGGTCACAGGGGTCCTCTCCACCGACCAGGCTCGCTGCCATCCAGGTCGCAGGTGTGCCAAGCACAGGCGGGCTCGCTCCTCTCTGAACCCGAGGACACGGGCCACCGCCCTACCTCCTCCGGCTCCAGGGGGGCCAGCGGACAAGCTCGGGCGAGCCCCTCCCCAGCTGGGAGCCACCGCAGGCTCTGCTCAGGGGGCAGAGCAGCCGAGTTCCTGCGGCCTCCGCCGCCGCGTCACTGGCGGGACACGTGGAGGCCTGGAGCCCGGTCTCCGAGGAGGAGTTCCTCTTCCACCAGGTCTGAGCGCCAGCGCCCGCGGGAGGGGTGGGCAGAGCAGGGGGCAGCTCAGAGCGAATGACAGTCACACCCTGCGTTGCCACACAGATATTTGGAGGTCAAGAATTCAATTTATTTGTAATTAGGATTCACGCGGATGCAAAATGGGGCGCCGTCTTACATGAATAGTACACAGTTCATTACACACCCGAGTGCCTTCTCCGCATCAGATTCTGCTGGGCACAGTGTTTATAATTTATAACCCACCTACTTCCAAAAGGACCTAGGAGACAGGGCTATGCTAATGCATTACGCTGTAGGTCAAAGTTATATGATAGAAAATAAGGTATGTCATACCTTTAAAAGCCCTTTTATCTAAATGCTCCCCTGCTAAGACGATCGCTTTCAGAGTGACCAGCATGCAGGCCCATTAGGCCGGTGGCATTCACAATGTGTGGGGTGACCCCGGAGGAGAGGGGAGAGGCGCTGCACCTGGTACCTCCTCGAACCCTCTCCTCCCATCCTTTTACATCCTGGTACCTTTTACATCCTTCTTAAACAGCAAAACCGAAGTTCTTACATACGAACCACCCTGCCAGCTCCAGACTGTCTTGGGGAGCGAGCGTACGATTGGATGTTACACAGGCCCGCAGCCAGCATCCTAATTGGTGGGACCCAGTCACAGGATGCAGCTCTCAGCCCAGCTCCTGAGCCTGTCTGCGCCCTGGGACTGCGGCCACCCCAGGGCACCATCCCGGGCACCACTAACGGGCAAAGGTCTTAAGTTCAATCCTGGCAACCTGCCCGCCCCACACTGGGGATCAAGCCCACAACCTGGACATGTGCCCTGACCAGGAATCAAACCAGTGACCTCCTGGTTCATAAGTCGATGCTCAACCACTGAGCCATGAGGCCAGGCTGAACATTGCAGACCCTGAACAAATATTAACCTTCATGATTCTTTGATGATATCCAATGTGCAAATGATGTTTTCACTCTTCCACTTTAAAAAATCAAATCCTTTTACATCCTGGTACCTTTTACATCCTTCTTAAACAGCAAAACCGAAGTTCTTACATACGAACCACCCTGCCAGCTCCAGACTGTCTTGGGGAGCGAGCGTACGATTGGATGTTACACAGGCCCGCAGCCAGCATCCTAATTGGTGGGTGACCCAGTCAGGATGCAGCTCTCAGCCCAGCTCCTGAGCCTGTCTGCGCCCTGGGACTGCGGCCACCCCAGGGCACCATCCCGGGCACCACTAACGGGCAAAGGTCTTAAGTTCAATCCTGGCAACCTGCCCGCCCCACACTGGGGATCAAGCCCACAACCTGGACATGTGCCCTGACCAGGAATCAAACCAGTGACCTCCTGGTTCATAAGTCGATGCTCAACCACTGAGCCATGAGGCCAGGCTGAACATTGCAGACCCTGAACAAATATTAACCTTCATGATTCTTTGATGATATCCAATGTGCAAATGATGTTTTCACTCTTCCACTTTAAAAAATCAAAGAACAATCATTATATATAATAAACATTCAACAAATATTTTTAAGGCATAAATAAAAGTGAATTTTACTGTACAATAGTGGTTGTTTTCATGTCTAGTGCCGACTACAAGAGGCGTCACATAACCACGTGACTGCCTTCAACGAGCTCAGCGGGCCTGAGGGTCTGGGTTTGGAAAGACCTTGACTTGACCTGTGCCCTCTCCCCTGCAGGCGCCCTCCCCAACCCTCCCTCTGGGCCCAGGGCCTGTCTCTGACTTCCTCCCTGGGGCTTGCCGTGTGGCGAGGCTCCGTCTTCTCCCCGCACCCCTGGGGTGCGAGTGGGCAGTCACCGTGCAGGGTCGTCGCCTCTCTGCCTGTGACCCTCACTCGTCCCTGTGGCCCCAGCATCGGGGTCAAGGTGGCAACGCCAGGAGCTCAGCATGTGCTGGTGACAGGACAGGGAGAACGGCTCTGTGAACTTGGTAACGGGATAAAGGGGTGGCAGGCAGGCAGGGAGTGGGGCCGCAGGAGCGCCCTGGGCTTGAGGCAGATGCGCCAGGATGCAGAACAATCATTATATATAATAAACATTCAACAAATATCTTTAAGGCATAAATAAAAGTGAATTTTACTGTTCAATAGTGGTTGTTTTCATGTCTAGTGCCAACTACAAGAGGCGTCACATAACCACATGACTGCCTCCAACCAGCTCAGCGGGCCTGAGGGCCTGGGTTTAGAGAGACCTTGACTTGACCTGTGCCCTCTCCCCTGCAGGCGCCCTCCCCAGCCCTCCCTCTGGGCCCAGGGCCTGTCTCTGACTTCCTCCCTGGGGCTTGCCGTGTGGCGCGGCTCCGTCTTCTCCCCGCACCCCTGGGGTGCAGGTGGGCAGTCACCGTGCAGGGTAGTCGCCTCTCTGCCCGTGACCCTGCCTGTGGCCCCAGCATCTGGGTCAAGGTGGCAACGCCAGGAGCTCAGCATGTGCTGGTGACAGGACAGGGAGAACGGCTCTGTGAACTTGGTAACGGGATAAAGGGGTGGGTGGCAGGACAGGTGGTGGCAGGCAGGCAGGTAGTGGGGCCACAGGAGCGCCCTGGGCTTGAGGCAGATGTGCCAGGATGTAGGCCCTGGACCACAGCCATGGAGCGGCGTGAGCACCTCACCTCACTGTCCTCCCCGACAGACGGGGCCTCACACTCACTGCGCACGCACTGACCAGCAAGCGGTGTCAGTAAGCAGCAGTGTCTGCCCCCCAACAAAAGAAGGGTGCACTCGCTGGTTCTGACGTCCCTTCTGTCCCTGACAGCCCTCGACGGGCTGAGTCACCGGAACTGACCTCCAAGCCCAGCGTGTGCTCGGGGCCACACACTCCTGCTCTCTGGCCCAGGACGGCCGACCTTCCGGAAGGGCCACACAGCCAATGTTTTTGACTTCGCGGGCCATCAGGTCCCTGTCGCAACTACTCAACTCTCCTTGTAGCCTGAAAGCAGCCATGATGCTACATAAATGAGTGTGACTGCGTGCCAATAAAACTTTATTGACAAACAGGGGAGGGGGCTGCTTTAGCTGGCTGGCTGTGGTTTGCTGTTGTCCTAGACCAGGGGTGGGGAACTTTTTGTCTGCCAAGGGCCATTTGGATTTTTATAACATCATTTGCAGGCCATACAAAATTATCAACTTAAAAATTAGCCTGCTGCATTTGGTCAAATATTTAACGAACTCACCTCTATAGCCTTGGCAGGGCCAGACCAAATGATTTCTTGGGCCTTATATGGCCCATGGGCCGGACGTTCCCCACCCATGTCCTGACCTAGACCCTGAGAAGGGGGCGTGGTTTCATTGCCAAGTAGCCCCAGGCAAGCCCTCATAGGCTCGTTCACTCCCCACAGCACTGTGTTCAGCCTCCCACGGGCCAGGCCTTTCACGGTGGGCAGTGACTCCCGGACAACGTCCCAGCAACCGCCTGCCCCTCCCCTCACACGCTGTGGACAGAGGGCCGCATGGTGAGACTGCACGCAGCCCCCTCTCTCCGCCAGATCCGCAGCTCTGGGCTCAGCCACTCCCTGAACATGGGAAAATGGGTCTGTGCCTTTAAAAAAGAAAGGTTTGAAAATCTCAGGTCTGGGCCAGATATTGCTGCTCTATGGATGGCTGGGTGCGTGGGACAGAATTCAGAGTCTGGCCAATGTCAGATTTCACCTGTGGCTTCCCTGGCTCTGTCCGTCAGGCCTACCGCTGTGTCGCTCTCGGGAGATGACGTTACCCTGAACACACGGCTTCCGAAGGCGCTTCTCCCGCCAGCAGGGCCAGCTGGTTACCGAGTGACGCGTAACTGCCCGGACGCGCCACGGCCAGTGCGCACGGCGACACACCTGAACTGGGTCAGCGTGAAAACAAAACCGGTGTTTCTGGCTCTGAGCGTTCACAGCTCCTTCTTCCCATTAGAAGGTGACCAAACGTAAGCTCAGAGTGATGGCAGGAGGCGGTCGGATAAACTACGGTTACAAGGCGAGGAACGGAGCAGCCTTGAAATCTGAACCCGCCAGGGCAGGTGTCCCACCAGGAACACGAGGGAACAAAGACAACTCTAGGAGCCCACGTCGGAGCCTCTCACTCTGAAATGCAGGTGGAGAGCCAGGAGGTGGGCGCCCGCCAAGGGGACCTCCCGGGACCACCGAGCTCGGGGGAGGGACCGCCAGCTGCGACCTCAGGGCTCCCAGTCTGCACGGCGACTGAGTCTCCAGGTGGGAGAAACAAGAAAACCCTGCGAAGGAGACCCCCCCGGCGAGGGAGGGGTTCCCTCCGCCACTGAACACCCCGGGTCCACAGCACAGCGAACTCCTGACTCAGCGCTGCGCCTCCAGGGACCCTGGCCTGACGCGGCCTGGGAGAAGCACACGCCCTCCTGCGTCACACAGACGACACCCGGGCTCCTCCACTGGCTCAGAGGGCGGGCACAAGCCACACGACACCGGGGGCTCCTCCGCAGGCTCAGAGGTCGGGCACAAGCCACACGACACCCGGGCTCCTCCACTGGCTCAGAGGGCGGGCACAAGCCACACGACACCGGGGGCTCCTCCGCAGGCTCAGAGGTCGGGCACAAGCCACACGACACCCGGGCTCCTCCACTGGCTCAGAGGGCGGGCACAAGCCACACGACACCGGGGCTCCTCCGCCGGCTCAGAGGACGGGCACAAGCCACACGACACCCGGGCTCCTCCACTGGCTCAGAGGGCGGGCACAAGCCACACGACACCGGGGGCTCCTCCGCAGGCTCAGAGGTCGGGCACAAGCCACACGACACCCGGGCTCCTCCACTGGCTCAGAGGGCGGGCACAAGCCACACGACACCGGGGGCTCCTCCGCAGGCTCAGAGGTCGGGCACAAGCCACACGACACCGGGGGCTCCGCCGCAGGCATTTCTAGGAGGGTCTCCGTTCACGTCACTCACCATGAAAACAAGGTCTGAGCCCGCGCTGGCGATGGGGAGCCAGTCAGTCTCTAGGCCAGTGGTTCTCCACCTCGGCTGCACATTAGAGTCACCTGGGAATCTTTTTAAAATCCTGACTTCTGGGCCTCATCCTCCAGAAATTGTTTCTCTGTTACCAATATTGTGGTCCCACC